TGGGTCTGTGGGAGGTAATTGGCAGCAGGCGCTCTCTCAAGTACCCAGATCCAATACCATGAAGGGCTTTATAAGTTACGACTAGCACCTTGAAGCATATCCTTCCCAAGCAACAGCAGTGTGCAATTACAGTGATGGATTTGAGAGCCTTGTCTTGAGTAAAAGCAAAGCGAAAGGAATGTCAGTAGTTAAACATTAGGTTTTGCTCAGCCTTGATTTCTTGAATCATGGTTAGCCAGAGCCATCCTAATTTAAAAGCATTTCCTCTCCAATCGCAAGGATAAGGAAATCAGGCCTGTCTGCCTTCTTCCTGTTTGGGCGGCTTTGAACAGTTCCTTTTCCAAACACCTAAGTGACATGATTACATCACTTCCTTCCACTTGAAAAAAATGCTCTGGACATTCTGATTTGGAAGATTAACTTGGCTCATTTGCCTCCCAAGCCCTTCTGTTTTCACTCGTTCATCCACCTGATTGTTTCTCTCAATGTTCTCCTGCAGGGAGCATGCCAGGGAGTGGCCCGATGATCTTGGAACGCGGACAAGGTAAACGCACCATTCAGTCTTGCTTGGAGCTTGTGGTCAGCTTGGACAGTGACAGATTTGGATTGAGAGGGCCTCTCTATCTGGGGTTTTCCCTACAAAGAGGGCGCGATAAATTTGCAGCCCCGCAATCCCTTTTTTATGCAGCCCTGAAGCTCCCTTTGCTTCAGAGTTAGCGGATTCTGATTTCAGGATATTGTGAAGTTGGAAGAGCTCTTAAAACAGGCAACGTAAGCCCTATCAATAAACAGGGTAGCTTTTTTTAAAGAAACAAACCCACCGTTGGAAAATCAGAATCCCCCGGGCCCCGCCCATTTGCATGATGCAGCTCCACCCACTTTGCATCTAGACACACACACACACACTTACCCTCTTAGAAATGTACCGTGCGTCTCCCGGCTGTCGAAAACAATTGCCCACCGCAAGCGTTTCCCTCTCCCGACTCCACTTGCGGCAATCGCGTAGCTCTCCCAGGTTTCCTGTAACTCTGTCCCTTCGTTTTTCTTTGCACTTAGTGGACAGTGAGAGCGATGCTTTGCCCAGTAATGCGCCATCAGGTACTTTGCATGCAGAAAACAGGGAAACGCCCCGCCACCCGCGGTTGAAACTCTTCCAGGGCCGTAGTAGGGTCGTGCTTGAACCAAGTTGCGCCTGCTTTCTTTCGTTTAGCCAGCAGAGGGTGCCGCTGTCCACTTTCCGAGATGCCTCTTTTTTGTTTTCTGGAATTAATTACCTTTTCTTTGCGCCTTTTCTTTGTCCTGGTGATGGAAGCCAAAGACTGGAAACGTCCCTGCATGTTTTTCTCCACTGGTTGCGCTCCAATATTATCTTACTTCTGCCCCCCCCCCTTTTCCCATAGCCCTTCATTGGCAAAAATCCCCTTTTATCCCCAAGCTATGATCACTTCCAGGCTGACAAATGTCCCAGAAAGATGTCAACCAACTGTGATGTCAATACCTATCCGAAGCTGGTGTTTTTCAAATATGCCGTATTTTTGGGAATATAAGATGCACCAAGTTTTTGAAGAGGCAACGTTTTTTTTAAAAAAAAATTATTGCATTCTGCAGACCTCCCAAAAACTGCCCTGCTTTTTGTCAAAAAAAAGGGGCATTCCTAGCCTTTAGGAGGGTTATAGCAGTGTTTCTCAATCTTGGCAACTTGAAGATGTCCGGACTTCAACTCCCAGAATTCCCCAGCCAGCGAATGCTGGCTGGGGAATTCTGGGA